TCCTCCTTCGCAAGCTTCGAGAACCCGTGCAACCTCTTCGGCTGTACGGGCAGCTTCAGCTTCTTCGTCCAGCAGCTGAAACCAGGGGTCTCTCTTCTTCCACTAAGGCTTCTGCCTCTGATACAGAGCAACAGCCTCAATTTGGAAGTGGGAAGAGTCTAGATGAACTTCCCTATGCCTCGGTTCAGTGATAGACGGGGCCCGATCAGTTACAACTCGTTCTCGGTTGACACCAAGACGAGCGTAGTTAATGCCAACGTTGGTCTCGTCCCGCTCTGAAAAAGAGAAGGGGAAAGGTCAGTTCAGATAGGTTGGCACAGCATAAAAAAGCGAAGCGAGAGAAGAAAAAGTGATAATTAAAAATCCTCGGCCCCAGCCGAAGAAGCTTACCATCCTTAAACTTTCGGCTGAGGCCAACAGCTGCTAGCATGTTCTCTTGGAAAACATAATGCGTATCGGGGAGCCAAGTCTCCGGGATATGCTGCATTCGGCCGCTGCCCCCCGGTTCGGCAGCTTGCCGAAGATATGTTGTTGATCAAGGTTCGGATCCGGCCCGTTATCTGCGGGGGGACCTAGACTTCCCATGTCGGGATCAGGCTCAGCAAGGTACCGGGGAGCGCTGAAGACGCAAGGGTGGCCCGGATCTGTGGGTGCCCTAACCCAAATCCATTGACCTCTCCAGTCCTTGTCTAAAGAGTCGTTCGGCCACATGGTTAGGTACTGGGGCCGGGACTCAATCCGGTACCACCCAGAACCATGGCTTCCGTGCCCACTTTGAATATTTGGCACTAGCCGATGAAGCTTTTTGAAGCAGTGCAGGTTCGGCACATACTTGAAGAACTTGCAGACCCATAAGTATGTCATCACCCTTCGGATGCTGGTGGGAGTTAACTGACATAGGGAGATATTGTAATGGATTAGCAAGTCTCGGACGAATACGTCCAAAGGGAACCTCAGCCCGTACTGAAGTTGTCTTGTGTACACCCCCATATACCCCGGGGGTGGACGATGGATTCTATCGGATGCCGCGGGCATTCGGCACCAATACCCATCAGCTTCAAAAATGCCGTAATGCAACTCAATTTGCTCGGCAAACCGATATTGTTCGGCATTCTCCACCCACCATGAGTAGGGGCGGTTCTTTATCATGGCCGAAGCTACTTCGGCATTCTCCCACTCTGAAAACCCGGGGAGGATATCCCAAAGGACAGCGGGAACTTCATCGTCCCGTCCAGAAGCGCTCGGCCCCTCCGTTCTCTGAGGAGGAGCCGAGGAAATTGGAGTCGCCCTAATCCCTTCAGCAGGGTCAGACTCTGGCCTTTGTCCATTCCAGGTCCCAATCCTGTTCCTAGGATCGGGAATTGGCCTTGCTCTTCTTGGAGCACGGGCTCTACCTCTAACTCCTCTTGCCATTGATTATTTCGAAGAAAAAAGTCGAAAAAAAGGGAAGGAGTTCGAATTCGAAGAAAAATAAACTGAAATCAAAGGAATTTACCTTAATCTGAAGCGAAAGTTGCCGATTTACGAGTTCGTAGTGGCAAGTCTCAGTTTCTAAGCTTAATGCTCGGGGAATTTGCGAAGTTTTGATGCGGGTTCTTGGTTTCTCTCGAGAATTCTGGGTTTGTGTTGGTGAATAAGTGAGGAGAGATGACGCGCCTCTGTTTATATCTCCAGGAATGGGATACGGGGAATCCGCGTTTCAATTTCTCTTAAATACCCCACTAAGTAACCGTTAAACACACGATCTTGCGATTAAACTGCCCATTATCCGTCCAACTTCCACCATCATCCGCCTTAACCGTTGTTATCTCATTAATTACGGTTTAAATTCAAATTTTTGGATTAATTAAATCATTTACTTCCCTCCTTTTCTGAATTAAATCAAACCCGACCCGTCATCCTTCCAAATCGGGTCTGGGGGCAAGTTGTTTGGGTCCAATTTAGTCCAATTGGGCCTAAGCATTAAATGATCCAATTAAAAGCCCAAGGTCAAGGTTCAACTCTCCAATTGTGCTAAAGTCAAAGGTCAGCCCTCAAAGCAAGCCAATTGGGCTAAGGCCCAACCTCTCCATGAATGAAGAGGTATAAAAGCCATCAATATTCATACATTCATATATATTCATAGATTCATATATTCTCATATACAAAAAAATAAAGCCTCAAGCAACAAATTCTCTTGCATAGTGTTCTCTTTCTACACATTGTACTGACTTTAGCATCGGAGGGGCCTTCCTCGGCAACACCCCCGAGGCTAGTTTACGTGTGTTTACTGTGCAGGAAACCTTCGGCCCAACATAACTTGGACCGAATCCAGTCTTTTCCGTTTCAGCGGACCTTCGGCAAGGTCCCATTGTTTTCACCCGAAACACATGTTATAGGTTTTATGAAAAGTTTTTTTTTGTTGCAAACAGATTCAATGGCTAAGTTGCAAACTTAGGATTCTGTTTTTTCTTGTTCGCTGTGCCTCTGTGGCTCATGGGGGCTTGGGGCCAGATTGGGCTTAATCTCCTTTTGCAAATATTAAGCATTAAGAAAACTGAAACCCTTGGGTTCTCTGTTTTGTTGTACTTCGTAAAATACTAAAATATATCAGTTATCTCATGTGATTATCCAATCTTTCTAGCCATTCTAGGATCTGTCATCATCATCCATGACAATGGCTACTTGTAGGTTTGTTATTTATAATTAATTGTGTGTTTTTTCTTAAAAAAAAATCTGGATGACTAGATGGGTTTAGTAGACCTCCACTTTTTCTTGAAAGCTATTTTAGAACACCTCCTAAGGTCTATTCCTTTCTGTCACTTGGCTTTGTGATTATCGAGTGATTTGAATTCATAGTTAGTTTCAAATCTTTTCTAGTTTATTGGAGCAAGTTGGAATGCTAAATTGAGACCGTTTGCTTGGTAAGAGGTTACAAATTTCTCAAGCATGAGTGCATCTCATTCACATTTATTTTCATGAATTGTTCACGCATGAGTAATTTACAGTAATGCTTCTTAATAACACCTGCTACAAAACAGAACATAATTTTGTAAAGATTTAAAGATTTATTTATTTTTAATTTTTGTTATTAAAGCTATAAGCAGACTCTAATCTAACCTAATGTGATTTCTGGAGGTGCACTTTGATCTATGGAAGTGCCTTGTCTATATTTCTTGCATCCATGGGCGGACCCATGAAGGAACAAGGGGTACCATTGTCCCCCCACTTTCGGAAAAAAAAAAAAAAAACAGAGGAAAAAATTTTTTAAGAAAAAAATAAAACTGGGAAAATAGTTATATAAAATTGAGTGTAAGAATAAACAAGAATTTTGCCTTAGCTAAGTTGGTAGTGGGCTAGAAACAATATGTCAAGGGGCCCAATTTCAAGTTTACCTAGATCAGGGTTCAAATCCCCCTTGTAACATCGTTCTTTTTTTTTTTTTTTTTTTTTTTTTTTGAGTGTTTTATTTTAGGTTATTTTGACTAAAAATTTGGTATTACCACCTCCATAAAAAATTTTGAATTCATTGCAGAATGGGATGGATGCAGCACAGTACATGCAGATATATAGAAGTCGAGAGGTTGGTCAGTCATATATAACTTCTGTTGGGACAACCTTGATTGCCATTGCTCATGCACTATGGTTGATGATTAAAATCAGGCCTAAAGTGGTATATATCTATTCAACCCTCTGAAATTTTTTGACAATTATAACATGTGTTGTTTATTTATAGTTGATATATTGTTTTAATGTTTCCTGCTAGATTCTCTATAATGGCCCTGGAACTAAGAATGGATGATCAACTTTATGTGCAATGGCCTCAACTGCAAAGGAAGTATCCTCGATCCATTTATGTTGGTTGTCTCATGTAGCTGGTTGCTGCATGATCATTTGTGTAGATTCTGCTATACATGCCTTACTTAGGTTATAAACTTCAATTTTGCAACACAACCTAATCATTTGAGATTTTGACTAATGTATTTTGAGTACTGACTTGATAGATGTATGCGTTCCTGAATCCTGATTGCTTCTGGTGTTCTTTGATACATCCAGCATTAAAAGTTATTATGTGAATGTACTAGAATATCTTATAAGTCATACACATTGTGCTTGAAAGTTGTAATATACTGTACTTCACATATCATTTCTGAAATATCTGAATTATACCTTTGCAGTGCTGTATCAGTGACTTGTTCTCCAAACTACTGTCATTTATCTGATGTAATTGAACAGGTCAAATTTTGAAATTTTTTGCACTAAATTATACTAGGTAAGTTGTGTTTGAATTAAATGTTTCATAATCATCTCCCAACCCTTTTTAATTTGATATAAGGGGGCATTTGGTTCATAAATTGGTATGGGGTTGGAATCAGGAATGAAACCATAATGGCATGGGTTTGGAACTTGATTCTTAATACCATATGTTTGGTATGATTATAAAATGCAATGTTTTTCTTTTATTTAATACCATATTCCATTTTACCTTTGTATACAATAGTAATGTGAGATAAAGAAATGCCATTGTGCATGGACTCCAAAGTTCACTTGCATGTGGTGTGTATCTGTCCTGGCTTCTTACAGAGGCCTATTAGTCTGTTATGGTGATTAGATGTCGTTGGATGTTAGCAATAGCCAACTCTTGTTGCTGACTTTGACATCCAACATAAAGTATTCAATGGAAGATTAAGGCCTCCACACTCCCATTAGAAATGCAACTCTCAGGGATCATTGAATGATCTGGTAACATACTATTCAACTAATTTCTGAGCTACAACTCATTAGCAGAACAGTTCTATTATTCTGTTTACTTTTCCATAATTAGAATATAGATCTATGTTATGTTGACATAATATGTTGCAATTGTGCCATTTCTGCAAGTTTATGCCATACATTGGTCATTATGACTGCATCGTAGATTCCGCATTAATAGATAAGCCTTTTGCCTTCTAAAAGTCTCTAACACACGCATCTCTTTTTTAAAATTCTTTTGTTGATTTGATAGAAGTTTATTCTTTCCCCTTTTTTCATATAGCCCCACAAAATAACACTTTTATTTCCCATGCATCAATGTATTGCCTAGTCTTTTACATTTCTTTTTCTTTTAGACTTCTTCATCTGCTCTCAAAACTTGTGGATTACATACTAAAAAAGAAAATGGAATATTTTTCTGTAATAATATGCCAAAAATCTGTAGTGAGTTTCTGGTGTTTCCCAGTCAGAGTAAGGTTAAGGGATGGAGTCTCTTGAAGATGAGGAGTTTGATCTCTACTGGGTTTGCTGCCTTCTTGACGATATACCAAGCACCTATTGTGACTCTTCTGCCATGCAACCTGACATTCCTTTGCCTATTGCTTATTTTGATTATTTTCCCAACTTCGCCTTCCTTTGGTTTGTTCACTTTATCCATTTTATTACCATTTCTGTTCAAATTTTTTGTCTATCATCTTGATCAGAGTAACTGTCAGTTTGAATAAGAGTAATTTTTTGTCCAAGTAGATTTTACCAAGCTGAACTTTTTTAGGTATAAATTGTTTGGTCCTTGAGATGTATTTTTTTAGGCAATAGTTTTGTGTTATTCTAAATATCTTGTCATTTTGTTCTTCTGCACCATTGAGTTGTTCCTCTTGGACTGTTCTTTGAATCAAATCTTGTTTTGCTAAAGCAATTATGCTTCGGGGGAATGAGTTAGTTCATATGAAGTCTGATTTAAGTAAGGTATCTTGGGGATTATTTAGTTGATCTTATCACAATATGTTTGAGTATGCTATCTTTTCGTCCATCCAGTGAGGCCACTCAAGATTCCAGTGAGGGTTTGGATGGTTTTGATGACTGCTGCCGGAAAAGGTACCCAATCATTTTGTTAATATGTACCTTGAAAATTGTAATCATCTTCTTTTTTAATTTTTCATATCTGTTCCCTTTCAAAAAAAAAAATCATATCTGCTGAATATTTCTTTGCCTTAAAACTCCAGGGTTCGTGCTGGATTGGTTACTGTGTCCAAAGCATGTCGTGAGAAACAACGAAGGGATCATCTAAATGAAAGGCATGTACAGTATTAAATTTACAGGAATTTTTATCTTATCATAACTTATTCTTTTGTCAAAGTACTTATTACCATTTTGTTAGTAGGTTCCTTAAGTTGAGTAAAATTTTGGAGTCTAAAACAAAACCCAACTTTGACAAAGCTGCTATACTAACTGATGCTATAAGCTGTTACGTGAAGAAACTAGTAACTTAACCAGTCAAAATGGCGAATTAAAGGAAAAGATTAGTGAATTGAAGGTTATGTCTCTTTTATATATGGTTTCGATCTGTAACCATGAAAAAAAAGGATTATACATAAGCCATAGGCTAGCCAATCTTAGTTGCTCTATAATCAAGGATGGTGGTGTCTAAACTATATGGACTTTGTACTGATGCATGCAGAGAAGAAAGTCCTTCGCGCTGAAAAGCATAGGATAGTGTCAGAGAAAGAGAAGTTGGAGCAGCGAATTAAGTCTGTAGGTTCTCGTCCTAACTTACAGTTCCATCCTACTTCGGTTCCAACGAACCTTATATGCCTTCCCCTGTCAAGCAGTTGGTAGCAAAATGATGCCTCTAGTTAATTACTCTGGTGTTCCCTTTTGGCAATTTGTGCCTCCCTCAAGCTGCTTTTGATACTTCACAAGATCATATCTTTCACCCTCCCGTCGCTTAAGCTGAGCTGTTATCCCTTCCTCAAATCTCCCATGGGCTTTGAAGTTAAGTCTCCTTAGTGTAAGAGGCTTTGTTTCAGGATGAAAGGATTAACTAATAAACTAAATTCGGTTATGCATTGATTTATGCCCTCTTTTAGATCACTTCTTAATGCTTCAGTCATTTATACACTTAATCATAATTTTCTAAACTTAACACACTGGCGCCACACTTTTTTTTTTTTTTTTTTTTTTAAGTTAGCTTTATCCACAACTTAATTTAAGCATCCGTGGATGATGTTTATATCATATCCTTTATGACTTGATATCTTTTACCATTATATATTTATGTTCAGCCCTTTCTCTTAATTTCTCATAAAATACGTTGTATCATTTGTATATTTTTTCTTGATTTGACTTTTATTAACCTGTGCATTAGATGACCTAAAAGACTGGAGTATTTTCTTACTACAACAAATTTGCAACTGGAAAAACACTTGATTCCTCCTTTTATCCCATCTTTGAGAAATTGTCAATAATAACAAACTTACAAGTGAGAATAGCATAATACATATACATCTTTCAGATAGGTATTTATAGAATGAATTTGTATGAGCGATAAAACTTGGTTGGTAAGGGTGTTCAACGATGGAGCAAGTGTCTCTCCAATAGATAAGAGGAGTTCTGATCATAGTTAGGTTCACTTTCTAGACTATCAAATCCACGTCTCCATGGTGTGTAACGATCTTGGTCATCGTTTATATTCGAAGATGATGTTGAGGCAGTTGAAGATGGGAAATCTGTGGAGTTGCTGCTGTGCTCCAAAGTCGTCGTGCTTGAAATGATTTAATGAATTTGTATGATTAGAATTATCCATTGCAAGGAAAAAGGACGAATATGAAAGACGGCAAGAATTAGTAGATATCTTACGCGACTTAGAAGGTTGTCTCCTCCAAGATGTTGGTTAAATAAGTTTCTTTGTCCGCTTATAATCCCCAAAAGTACCACCCCAAAGCTATAGACATCATACCTGACTGATAGCACGCCGGACATTGGATACTCTGGTGCGATGTATCCGCTGTAAGACATGATTCGTCAACATTAATTAAGAAGTCTGATCCTCAACACTCCAGCATGAGAAAGACATATTAAGAAGTCTTTCGAAGATCATGGACTTAATAGGTTCCGGCAACTTTGATGGTACTGGCGTGTGTTTGGTCTAATTTGATTATCTTGCCATGCCAAAGTTTGCTATCTTAGGATTCATCTCCTCATCTAGCAAGACGTTGCTTGCTTTAAGATCTCGGTGTATAATCTTGAGACATGAGTCTTCGTGAAGGTACAGAATTCCTCGCGCAATTCCTAATTATGATCTTGAATCGTGTATCCCAATCTAGATATTTGCGCCTAGTTTGATCTGTAAGATTCTCAAAAGATCACATAACTTTAAGCTATTGGGTGTTTTTTTTTCCACTATAACATTAGCTTCCAATGTTAGTTGCATCATATATTATATTCTTGTAATTAGAAAATTGAAACAAATATAAGGCAATTAAGATTTCCCAAAGTATGTTACACTTCATACCAACCAAGCCAAGACTTAAAGTTTCATATGTATTTGCCATACTACATGAAGTAGTACTAGTATAAGATGATAAGGAAATAAAATAAAAGTTGATGTAAAGAAGACACACCAAACAAGAATTTTTCAAGACTGGTGTTGGACATAAACTCGTAAACTAGCAAACTTTCGTCGCCTTCTAAGCAAAATCCCAACAATCTAACCAGATTTCTGTGTTGAAGCTTTGCTAGTAAGTGGACTTCATTAGTAAATTCGTCATGACCTTGTCTAGATTTTTTATCCTTAGAAAGCCTCTTAACAACCACTTGTTGTCCATTTGAAAGCTCGCCCTATGCCCGAGAAATTAATTATATATTACCTCCGTTTCTTTTTAGTTGACACGTATTTCTTTTTAGGAAGTTTTTTTTTAGTTGACACGTTTCCTTTTGGGGTAAATTTTTTACCTTGCATTTACAAGCTATCCCACTTGCTTTTTCATTCTCTCTCACTCTCTCTCCTCTCCTTAATATATGTGCCTAAATCAAACGCGTCAACATCGAGATGCTCATACCAAATAAGAAATGGTTAAGGCTCGTATTGGGAAGGAACTCATAGATGAGAAGTCTCTCTTTGTGTTCGATACAAAATCCAAGGAGCCTAACAAGATTTCTTTATTGAAGCTTAGCCATTAACAAAACCTCTGTCTTAAACTTGTCATCACCTTGTCCTGAATCTTTTGCGAGTCTTTTAACCGCGACTTCTTGTCCATTTGTTAATCTCCCCTGATTTCAAATAACATGAACATTAGTCTAATTACACTAGTAGACTAATATTACATTATAATTGTTTCTAAATGCATGTATTAAGTATCTTATATAAAGTACTAAATCCACCTTGGCCAAGTTTATTATCATCCTAGAAATTGTTTATTGCCACTTTAATTGTATGAAAATCAAATTGTAGACATACCAAACTTGTACTTTCATCATTGTCATCTCGATGATGGAAAGTAGAAGCCGCTAAAATCATAGGAAAAAAAAACCTTGATCAAATGATTAGCATATGATATACATACTTATCTCTGAAATGGGATGCAAAATAATTTGCTTACCTTTAACTTATTTTCAATGCTTTTCGTCTTCTAAACAAGAAATAGAATCCAGCTGCAAGAGCAATTAACAGAAATGTTGAGATTGTGCTTAGAATAGCAATCTTTCTCGTGTTGCTCCTATTTCCTTACAAAATCAAGTCAGAAATTAGCATACTTTTTTCTGTTAGTATGTAAATAGTAATGCTTGCAACAAATATGACTTTTGTATTCCATATTATTTTATACTTATGATAAAAATATATTTATGCCGGATCTTAACAGTTGAAATTATACCGTCAAGATATCACTTCTAATAAATTAAAAGATTAAAATATATATATTAATGATTGAAATTATACATAGACAAGCGTGAAAATAAACGTGTTAAACTAGAAAATGTTAGTACTATTATTAATAATACTACTTTGACTAAAGTGTAAAAATTGACTTACCACTAGGGTGGGTGAAATTAGTCGTGGGGGTTGGTGGTAGGGAAGGTGGCTGCGATGGCAGTTGGGGGCAGTGTCGACAAATCAAAGAAAGGATAAAGATCGTATCGGATGTTGCAGCTAATTAAGGCTGTCATACTCCACCACCTGGACTCCCCAATAATCTTGCAATAGCATCTGTTATGAACGTATTACAGTTAGTAGGGTTCGAGTCTGGTGTACACTGCTCCAACCCATATATCGTATGAAAAGCCGAAATATTGACATAATCTGTGGCGAATTCTTTTGTGACCCTCATTAACCGCAATTTTGTCATTCATCATGTTCTTCATAAGCTCCATGAACCAGGTCTCATTACCTAAAATGTTCGCGGTCACATAATAAACAAGGTAGATTGAATCATCCATCGAACCAAAAATTGAGCTATTAGAGTACCTAACCATGCACTCATTGTACCAAAGTGCCGCTGTTTTTCGGTTAGTACATATGTTAGGATGGTCCGTCACGGTGGACATAGTAACACGCTATTGGCACGAGCTAGCGTTTTGGTATTGTTGAGTCCCTTAGGTTTTGATTGATAGTTTTGAATGATGACAAACAGCTAAGGGAAACAGGTCCTTGAAAGTGTTCGATACAGTTGGGGGAACCAGCTAACATAGAACACTGTTTCCCCAGACAAGTTATTACTTACATGAGTTTTCTTATTGAACTAACTTGTCTTTATACAGGGAACAGTTATATGATAAAAGTGTTATGTACTGGTAGGGAACCAGTATGTACTGTTTCCATGGTTGCTACGTGGTACAGTAGTCACTTACTTTATATTGTGCATTAACCTTATTGATTGTGCAGAATATAAGTTGATTCCAAGACTTGGAGCATAGAAGCCTTTCGAAGATATTTCGAAGAAAGATTGTTTGCTCATAATAGAAGTATTCAAGGAAGATTCAAGTCTTGAAGATTACATGAAGAAAAGACGATTTATGCTTTAATATGTTATCTAGGTTTTCATGTAATATGCTCCGTAGTATGCTTGCATGTTTGGGTTATATAAGTGCTTAAAAGTATATTGAAGTATGATATGAAATCTGGTACAAAGTTGGAACAGGTTTCATAACATGTTTCAATTCAGGGAACCAGGTCGGGGAACCAGGTTCACTGTACGAAATATTTGAGCTGCCGTTTTGGAAAAAGATTTTACAAAAAGATTTTTTCGAAAAGATTATTTTGAAAATATTTTGTGCAGCTGGAAATAAGATGAAATATTCTTGGTTACCTAAAAACTAGGAGTATTTATCTTAATTGATTCTATCTTTGTGATTAAATCAAATAAGATAAATACTTTCCTAAAATTACAATATATCTTATTCTCTAAGATTGTGTGATTTAAGGAAACTAGGTTTTAGGAATCTAAGCTTATATAAACTCATCTTATTTCACATATTTCGTGTGCCTCTCTAGAAATTAAAGGAGCAATTATTTGAGAGCATATACTTAAGCACTAATCCCATTCATCAAGTCATATACAAGAGCATTCTAGTACTTAAACTTTTTCTCTTAATTAGCTTCGTAGAAGTGAGATCAAAGGGGAGTTCTTGATTTTTGTATTGAGTCTTTAACAAAGGGGTTAAAGGCTGGGTGAGTGTTTGTGAGTTCAAACACATTGGGCTTACGAGTGTAAGTCGAGAGCACACTCGGAGTAGAGTGTGGGGTTTGCTGGTTCCCGGAGTAGGGAACAGCAGAGTGTTCTTTGTCTTTGTTTTTCGGAGTAGATTAATAAAGAACTTAGGATAGGAGGACGTAGGCCTGAGTTGGCTGAACCTCATTAAATTTGTTGTGTTCTTTATTGCTTTGTTTTATTTCGTTAAATTTGTTGTCTTCTTTATTGCTTATTTATATTCCGCTGCGTACGGGAACCAGCACAACTGGTTCCTCACACATAATCCGAAAAGAAGCAAAATTAGCCAACGATTACTTAACACTCAATTCACCCCCCCCCCCTCTTGAGTGCCCATTGAACCTTCAATTGGTATCAGAGCCTAAGCTTCTCGAAAGAGTAACATCTAGAGGAGTTAAGAATGAGTACTCAAGAATTAAGTGCAATCGGTTATGACAACAAGTCACCCAAGTTTAATGGAAATAATTATGCTTGGTGGAAGAACAGGATCCAGAATGTTATCATGGGTATTGATTATGAATGCTGGCTCGTAGTTAAAAATGGTCCTAATATCATTCTCAAGACAGATGTTGAGGGGAACCAGGTTCCCAAGAAGGATAGCGAATTGGTCATTGCTGATTACAAGTTGCTGGAAAAGAATGCTAAGGCAATGTCAATACTACAACAAGCAATAGGTGAGACCGAAACAAATCGTATCTCTGGCTGTAGTAGTGCTAAGGAGATATGGGACACCCTTGAACTTGCGTTTGAGGGAACCAGCGAGGTAAAACGGTCTAAAATTGATTTAATCATGTCTAAATATGAATTGTTTGCCATGAATAAAAATGAAAAAATCAATGACTGCTTTCGTAGGTTTATGACTATTGTAAATGATCTTAGATCTCTTGGTAAAAATTTATCTGACGAGGATCTTGTGAGAAAATTATTGCGTAGTTTAACAGATGCATGGACAGCCAAGGTAACAGCAGTATATGAAGCAAAGGATCTGTCTACCTTGTCTCTGGAACAGCTGATTGGTTCCCTTATGACTCATGAGATGCTGATTGACTCTAAGTCTGAGAAGGAACCAGCAAGAGGCATGGCGCTTAAGGGAACAGTAGAAGATGATGAAGATGAAATTAGCATGATTGCAAAAAGATTTGAGAGATCTCTTCGAGATCAAAGAAAGAATTTCAAAGGTAAGCATTTTAAAAACTATAAAAAATCTAACTCTAATTCTTCTTCTACAGGATGTTTCAAGTGTGGAGAAAAAGGACATCTTATTCGAGATTGTCCTAAGTGGAATGACAAACAGTCTAAATCCGGAGATAAACAAGCATACAAGAATGCCATGATAGCTTCCATGTGGGGAGACTCTGACTCAGGGTCAGATGAAGAAGAAGGATCACCCAACTCAGATGTTTGCCTAACTGCCTTTACAAACATCAAGGAAAACAGCACTGGTCCAGGAACCAGAGGGGGAACCAGTACATTCAACAAATGCTTTATGGCAAAGAAGGATGTACTACATGAACGCAAGGTAAGCTTAGAGCAAATTAGAGAAGATATGCATGAATATGATAGAGAAAATATGCTTGCTTGTATTGATTCCTTACTAGATGAATGCTATAAACTAAGTGAAACATACATAACTTGCAAAAGAGAATTAAAAGAAAAACGTGGTGAATGTAATATTGCTATTGCTAGTTGTGATCATCTAGAAGGAGTCTGTTATGAACTAAAAAATCAAGTAGCAGAACTAGAGGTTGAATTGGACAAGTGTAAAGTGGAACTAGAAAAGGAAAGATCGTTTGAACCAATTGATGGAGAAGAGGATCTGACCTCCTGGTTCCCTAGAGAC